TGATAGGAAGAATATTTTATGAGATAGTTGTACCATTATTTAATACTTGAAATTCATTTACAAAGATTCTTGGCTCTAAAACGCCATGAGTGTGATTCATGTTTCAGGAAGATCTCTGATGACATGGAGAGGGACAGAAATGGAGCATTGCAATACTTAAGAAGAAGGACTAAGTACTTTAGTCAGAGTACTTGACAGTGGCTGGAGAAACAGAGGTAGCACTGTGAGGTATTTTACATTTAAATATTGAAAATATTCAGTGACCACCTGAACTTAAGGAGACCATGGAGAGAGGGGGAAAAAAAGAAGGTGACCCCAAGAAGGCCAAGTGAATGGTGATGCTTCAATATTTTGTATACCAACTGCTGCTTCCCTATGGCACAACTATCCAAAGACTCTCCTGACAGGCTAGCTGCCAACAATTGATTCAGTGGCTATTTACAGCACAGAACAAAAAATGAAAACCCTCACAAAGTCAGTAGAAGCAAATTTCTCCTATGAAACTTATCCTGTGCTGATAGCCTTAAATGACCCTGTTCGCAAGCCCTTTTAATATAAGATTAACTAAGCAGTTATCCATCTCTCAAGCCAGCAGAAAACATCACTTCTTTCTAACAACATGAGTACTGCTTCCAGGTATGGCATCAGTGAGTGGTGCAAATGATCTGATGAACAGAATTTACTTCCATTTTCAGAACATTTTGGTTTCACTTGGGACAATCGTGAAATAAAGTTTTCACTTTGTGGGTAGAGGTGTTTCCTCAGGATGGATATTTTACCAACAAATGCAGTTGGTCAGGAATGACACACACTGTGCACAAGATGTTGTGAAATTTAGGTATGTTAAAAGCATGAATATCATGATTGCTATTGTTAAACTAGCCTATTTAATAGAACATGAAAAAAGTATAGGCAGAGAGTTAAATGACACTAAAACAAATTCTTGGGAACATACTCCAAGGAAAACTTTCTTATTGCTTGAATTACCCACACAAAAAATTTATTTCTATTCTTGTCTTAGAAGCCACCATCTGTATCTCTACTACACAATCCAAAAATTAGGAGAGTTGAATATATTATGTATCAGCTTATATAATGCTATTATAATACTTATGTTTGTAGTATTAAATTTTTAAGTGCATTGCTTCTTTGACAAGTTACACATGCAGAAGTTGAAAAGAAGTATACATTCGCAAGTTTACGTTAAAGTTGGAGAAAAGAGGAAAAGTGATAATTAATCCTAAATTTTGTAGGTTCTCCACATATATTTAAGAACTTTTCATGTTATAGTCCATATATTATTGTTTCTTTAAAAAGAATTTCATGAAGACATTAAGAGTTTAGAAGATAGAAATGAACATTAGTGATTCTATAACACAAATGTCCTGAAATCACAGATCAGGATTTGTCTTTCTTTGCATTTCCTGTCACTATACTTCTCATGCTTAATATATTATTTAGGGAGAGGTGGCACTCAATATGAATCTTCATTCTTCTCAAAAACAGCACTTGTTAGACAGTATTTCCTACCAACTCACAGAGATGGTAGTGTTATCAAATCAAGACATCTTCTGAGCTTAGAAGAATCAAATATTGCCTCTAGAACTTTCTGCTGATCTCGTCTGGATCGGATTCCCTTCAGATCCTCTCATCCTTCAATTCTTTAAAAGCAGCACACAGAAAAGGAGAGTAGCAATATGCATTTTTAATTTGTTAACAACATTGCCTTGTACTGCATCTAGACGCATAGTAGCAACAATACAGGATGACTCTATCCTCTAAAATTAGTACATTTTAGGTACTGTTTTCCTTCTGAGTAAAGACCTTTATTTTTCCTGGAGAAATTAACTTTGATTTTCTAAATGTTTAAAGTTGTTTGATAATTTATAGTCACATACCTAAATCTGTCTGAAGGAATTCAGCACTTCAGATAACTACCTCTATTCCAGGATGCCAGGCAAAGCAGAAGAACAATAAACTAAGGGATGGCCAACTATTTTCTTTTCTGTTTTTTCCCCTATTCCCTTTATCTACAAACCAAACTAGTTAATCACTTAAGTGTTTGTTATTTTTCAACCCTTATGCCAAAAAAACCTTGTTTTTAAAGTGAATCTATTATGCTAATAAAATATACGCCTATCCTTATATAATCCTCAGCATAATTATAGTTTTGTATAATTAAAGTTATATGTCAAAAGATTTACAGCTTTATCACCTCAAGGAATATTTCACAGCTGCCAAGAATGATTTATGCAATAATGACTTAAACTGTAAAATAGAATACTCAAAGGAAGAGCTGTCAAATATTCCTCCTGAAAATAACCAAGATTTAAAAAACTGATATTCTGGTAAACAGTAAGTTCAATTGTGTCTAGCATGCTCATAAAAAGGAGAATGGTAGGAAGAATTGCTTCACAATGGCTTATGCAGCTCACAGTACACTGCATCGTTGTGGTGTCATTCCATAAATCAGTTTTAAACTGCTTATAAATCCTCTAGGTGACTTTGGGAGACAAGCTTTCAGAAATAATGCTTTGCTCATATTTTTTTACTCCAATATGAATGAAGAGAACAAGTGGAAACAAAAATACCTCAACTTTCTGTTACTTTGGTCACTGTGCTCATTACATGACTTTTTAGATTCTTGGGAAATGCTAAATTAAAAATAAGGAAGCATTTACTATATAGAGTTAAGAAACCAAGAAAACCAAAAATAAATGCCACCAATAGTAATAAATTAGGAATATTTGAAGAAAAGACTGATGAAAATGTCTTTTTCTCTCCTTCTGCTTCTATTAATGTAGAGTGGCTGGTAGGTCTATAACAGGCAAGACTATCAAAGCATTCAAACTTCAGAAGCTCTGATTGATTTCACAGTTGCCATGTGAATGAAACCATTATGCTCTGAAGATTCTATTCAAGGTATCTGAACTGGCAACAAAAACACAAGAATATTACCTTCAAATCAAATAAGTATGACTGTATCTTTACAATCTAAAAAGGTCATTCAGATTAATTAATCATTGTTTTTCTTTGGAAAAGCATAAAAAGCTTGGCCACTCCTCTCATGGTTCCCAAGTCAATTAAAGCTAGATGGTCAAAGTTTATTGTTAGTGCTAAAAGTCCTTTAAGACCGAGTCACATCTCAGTAAAAAAAACAACAGAAACTAAAATATCACCAAAGGCTGGAATTTCTCTACCTAAACAAGCTTCCAAATAAAGATTCTTTGTATGAATTTAATTTATATAACCAAGCAAATCATTCAGATATGGATTTACATTAGTGAACATACTAACATTTTCTCTGCAGAAATTTTTACAATCATCCTTGAGTTTCTATGTGAAACTGGTTCTTTAAGGTGTTTTGAGATCATTCTATACAGTCACACTGTATTAAATAACTAGATTTCAAAACATTCCCATTTCAGTTGCAGCGTAATAGGTAACGATTTTTACTGGAAAACACTGTTAAAACTATACTTAAGATCTAAGCGATTTGGACAGACCAGATTTATTTTGTAATTAAATTCTGAAATAGCCCAGAATCCATAGTGACTAAAGATGGATCAACACCCTTCAGAGCCCCAATATAGACTGTGTCAACATCATAATAAGCACTCTGGTGGAGAATGCTGTCAGATGTTTACATGATTTTAAAGGTTCAGTTTCTTGACTTCAGATACACAAAAGAGATAAGTTGCATTTGGACAGTGAAAGCCTCAGTCCAATAAATACTTTCAGGATTGTAAAGCAATTAGTTTATTTTTAGCATGCCTACACTATTGAGTGAAAATTGAAAGAAAATGGGAAGAACATTCAAAACAATTTCTATGGTGCTTAATAATCATATAATTGCATTTTCCAGATTAATACAATGTTATGCAAACTTATTTTTCCCATAACACTTGGTTGTGCCTATCCACTCACATACATGTAATGGAAAATCCAATAATTAATAATTGTACTTTTCCTATCATGAAAAATTTTACTGTAAGGAAATAAGTGGAAGAGTTAATTACTTTCCTCGATATTTTTATGTAGTTTACTAGATGATGAGTCATTATATTATATACGCTTTAGCACATTACACATTTAATTTTCTAAAAGTCTGAACAGATACTCCTCTACCTCATTAATTTCTATAAATGGAACTGAAAAAAAATAGACGACAATGCAATATTGAGAAAATTAAGTACAATATGCATATTTCTAAAATTATTTTGCCTTTAAATTAAGTTATTAAATATATATATATATATATATATATATATATATATGGATTACATGCCATGCCATGGAATGCCTGAAAGAGGTGTGTCTTTGAAGTTGAGGTATGATCTTAAGTTTGTAATGTCAGTTTGCTGCAGCTATAAAAGTGAGCACTAATAACTTCATAGAGTCATAGTTCCTTTTATATACTTCCTAATTTAAGAAAAGTCTTGAACCCATTAATATTTGAATATACCTGGGTTTACTGGGTCAGTTTTAGAAGTTCATATATATCTCCTTTAATCTTGTATTAAAATAAGTAGAGGAAAAAGAGGTACTTCCTATCAAAACCTAAAGAGCCAAATAACACTTACAAGTTGAAAAGTTTTATTTTCAGAGTATTCTGTTTTCAATAAGGTTTTTAAAAGTGTTTTCAAGTTCAAGCAAATGGCTGTTTCTTCTTCCCAACAAAATATATATTAAAGCAAGCAGTAAATTATTGATTTTTACATTATACTTTAGTGCAAGGAGTGTGCAAGACTAATTTGTGTCATTTTATCCTTAATGATATTAAGCTACTACACTTTTGAAGAGTTTAAACAGAGGACTCCTAATCAAAGAAGAAATGTTTTTGTAGTCCACTAATGAGAATGTCCATATTTCTTGGATAATAAAGCAAATCTTATTTCTACAATTAAATATCTGGGGTTTTTCTGCACATAAACTTTTAGCAATTGAAATTTCTTTTCAGTGGAATCAAACACAAAGTATCCTAAGTGGAAAAACGTTACCATTTTTGTGATAGTAGGTGACTTCCACTTTCCTCTCCTCGGAACCCAGCAATGCCTGGGCAATCTGGGCAACATCATGCCTCTTGGTCTCGGGTCCATGAAGAAAGTCGCAGGTGCACGGCTTCTGCATGACATCTGGCCTGGAGAAACCAGTCATCTCACAGAATCCATCATTGCAGTAGATGATGGCACAGTTCTGCACTCTGGCATTGGCAATGATAAATTTTTTATCTGTAACACGAAGATGATAAAGGACCTTTTAAAAAGCTTCTATAAAATTCTTGTAAACACTGAAGCCATTTGTTGTATGAGGGCTGAATGTAAGTTCTTAAACAAAATGCAAATTTCCCACATCTTTTCACACAGAAAAAGAAATTACACAGGAAAAGACTCTATAAACTTAAAATGTGAGATTAACAGTTCTATGGAACAGGAGGTATTAAGAAATCAGTACTCAAATGGCAAGAATAGAATTCCCCAAGCAGTTTAGTTTTCAAGTGCTGTAACATCCAGGGGTCCTAGTGGCCATTCATACAAGAGCTGGCCCGTTGGTATTTTCAGAATGGCACTTAATTGTAAGGGTTAAAAAAAAAAATTCTAAGCCAAAACAGTGAAACATCCTTTAACTGTCAAATTTATCACTTCCACTCGGACTCTTCAAATGCAACTTTCACAAAGTATTTATTTTTCTTGGATTTGGCTTTTCTCTGTCCCTTTAAAGTATACTAGACATTACTTTTTTTTAAAGACAAGTTTAGCAATGAAATTATTCCACATATATTAGAAAGTAAGTACTGCAAAGGTTTACCTTTTCAAAATGTACATTTTTCCAAAAATCAAAATATCTATACACTTGCAGTGTCAAGTAAACACTTTTTTACTTTTACATTGAGAGAACCTTGAATTTTTATACACTAGCAGAAATTTTAATCCAAATAACTCATTCATTTTAGTAAGACTACAATTACTATTTCCAGATTGAAAGTGAAACAGGAAATATAAGTTTATTTTGCACATAAGGTACTAGACCTCACATTACGAAATGTAGTGATGAAAAAGTGCAAAGTATACAATGAAAATGTGTATTAATATAGACTAAAGAAAACAGAATATAAGTACAAGTATAAGCTTTTAAGTTACTATTTTTATATGAGATCATTCTTGACGGTCCACATGAGTGCATTAAATTTCCTTATATTTAATCCATGTGGGATTTACTTATTTCAGTTCAAGTTTTAAAATTCTAGATGGAAAATTTAAAGAGGAAATGAGGACATAAATGTTCTTTTGAATAATGAGCTATTTTCTTTAGGAACCAGCGCAGATGGGATAATGCTTTCCAAATGAACAGATCTGGCATACATTTGCATTGATTCAATAGAAAGTTTAGCTTGTATAAGCTACTAGCAGGTAAGCATCCCTGTCATTCCAGAACCCTGCAGTTTACCAGCGTAAAATATAGTTTGCATAGCCATTTACATGACTACTACATCTACAGTCTTTTGTTCCAATAATATGGTTTGCTCTGCTCCTGACTTTTAAAAGTGTGCAATAAAACAGACTCAAAATATGAGCCTATGTCCTACTAGCACGTTCCCTTTAAGATAGTAGAATAAATAGTAGGACCTTAAGTAGCAAGGCAGATAATGGAGCAGTGGGAGAAGGGGATCGAATTGCTTCGATGATGGAGACTATAATCTAAAATGTAAATCAAAATTAGTATTAGAGGGAGAGCACTCCCGCTACTGTTCGAACCTCCTGGCTCTATTTCACAGCCTCGGAACTTGACAGAGCCCGGAGTTGCCATCTCCCCAGCTAGTAAGCGTGCACTATCAAAGCGGAAAGCGAGGGAGAGAGGAGAACAAACGAACTTACTTTGCCCTTCAAATTTCCGTATGATGGTCCCCAAAAATGTGTTTTGTGGTGCCACATGCCCCCTGCGAACAGGCATGTTGACCGGGTCTTCCGAGGAGCGCTCCCAGCTCCGGAGTTCTCCCGGGATCTCCGCTGGGCTAGAGCCCAGGCCACCGCGCCAGCTGCTCTTTGTGGCAGAGCATCCTCTTTGGAAGCCAGAAATCGCTTCCCATTAGCACCACTTCCAGACACCCGCTCTCCCCACCGGAGTCCAGTCCATTCCCCTCACCTTCTGGAGGGGGCCTCGTACCGGACTTCCGCGGGTGAGAGGCTTGGGGCTGGGGATGGGGAAGGAGGCGGGGTGAGGGGAGGTGGCGGGGGAGGGAAGAGGGAGGGAGCGATGGGGGTGGGGTGGGAAGGGGGGTTGGGAGTCACAAGGGCAATCGATCTGTTTCTCTTCTCCCAAACAGCGCCAATTTCCCAGTGCAAATGGGCTTAACCTGGCTGTTGCCCAGAGCCCTGAGGAGGGCTGGTGGGGAACGGGCAGGCGGGGGATGGAACACTTGTGTGGCTTTTGCTGGAAGGGGAAAAAGAAAAGAAGGCTGGGGTGGGGGGCTGACGTGTCTATCCCCGCCTCTCTCTCTCTCTCTCTCTCTCTCTCTCTCTCTCTCTCTCTCTCTCTGGAGACCTTGGGCGCTGCCACAGCTCGGATTACTCGAGCGTGCTTTAGCGGAAGGCGGCCAAGAAATCTCCGAAACTCAGTGACAAACAGCTACAATGGGAAGGTGATCTCCAGGGCTACCAGCCACAGGGCTCCATCCCTGAGCTACTCACGCTGCAGTAGCTGTAACAAACACCCTTAGCTGCAAAGAAAAGACGAGTGGGAAGGCAGTCCCTCAGTGAAGAATATTTCTAAGCTCTCTTGTCACTCAGGAGGCTGGAGATTGAGGATGAGCCACTTAAAAGTGCGGTTTAGCCTCGGGGTGCAACTCGGACACCCGAGCTCTTCAGGGGTGGGCGCTGAAGCCCAGGGGCGGAGCTGGCACGCGGGTCCCTGTCCAGGGCTGTGGCGCGCCTGGGAAACACTGAGGCTGCTCTCGCCTCTGAATATGCCCTGTTTCATTGTTGGAGTCCCTGCAGAGTTGCAAGGTTGAGGGGTGATTGGGTTTCCAGGCGCAAGAGGTTGCAAGAAAGATAAGAAAGCCAAAGGCCGAGTGAGCAACCGGTGCAAAACAAGGAAGGGGTTTGAAACAGGAGAGGCTGGGCACCAGGGGGAAGGAACAAAAGGTGGGTGGGGCTAAGAGTTACCAGCCTGGCTGTGACCTCCCCCATGCCATTCAGGTCCTGAAAGCACAGACTACACCATTCTGCCCTCCTCCAGCAGCCTAAGGGATCCTCTCCTGCAGAACAGGAAAAGGTTCAAAGAGCAGCCCAGAGAGTCCTTTTCGTTCTAGTTTGTCAGAGAACGCCAAAGCGTCCAAACAGTAGTGGTGACTTGGGAAATAAAATGACAACCTATGCTAGGGAAGTGTGTTTTTAAAATGTTTTCTTAGTTTTTTTTTTTAAACTTCATTGTCTTCTATTATGTTATTGCCTCCTTTAATCCAACAGCCCTGCCCACATCTCTCCCTCCTCAGAATACACAAAAGACAAGTTTCGCCAATGTGCAGCTTTGTTTTTCCCCCTTTTCTTTATGAAGTAGCTCATTCTGTCATTTTGTTTGCTCGCTGCAGCTAGGCTTGTAGGTCGGCAGAGTTCCTCTTCCTGGTGTTGAATTGTGGAGCTATCCACGGTGCTGACTAGGTCATTGCTGCTCTGGCAACTGCTCTCTGCCTCCAATCAACCACAGACAATAGAACCACAAACTCAGGCAAGTGGCCCTCTATGTTCACATAAATCAGTCGATTCTCCAAATGCCCATAGAAACACAAAACAAGGTTTTCATTCCATTTCTAAAACACCTTTTTTCTACTTAGCTTCTTAACTAAACCCAAGCTCACCCTCCTCTTAAAGCACATCAAGTTCTCCAGGGGAATCTGAACAAACTGTGGATTGTAATTAAGGTCTCTTGTATGAATTTTCATTGTAGCTAAGTTCTCACAGCATAGTACAGCAGTAAGTTATGGTAATGTCATATGGCTAATAATTACTTTAGACAACATGTAAACAGTGAATAAATGTTTTAAGATAATAGCAATGCCCAAATACATTTTTAAAGACAATATTTTTGTCATATCACAAGATGTATTGATACACAGAAATTAATTGAATTATATTTTGATTTATGATTCTGATACTAACTTTTATAGGCTATTGAGTCTGGAAAGCCTTGGATTCTATTTTCTTTCTTCAAGAGTAAAAGTGACTTCCTGTTCTCTGAAATATTCTTTTCCTACAACTTCAGAGTGGTCTTTTTTTTGGATTGGTTAACAAATCACATGCTAGTTAATGTTCCATTGTCTATGTTACATATGACTGGGCATCTCATTTTTTCCCAGCCTCATTTATCTCTAAGATTAGTTCTATTAATGATTTAGTGTAAAATCATAGAACATTCTATAACCTATGTATTGTAATTGATTGATATGAGCAGAAGATTAAAGGCATCCTGTTTCTAAATTACCCCAGTGATCGTGTTCATGCATTACATATTGGTACAGTGAAGACAGTACATTAGTCTATATTCATCCAATAATAGTATTAAACCAGAGGATGGTAATCATCACCTCTTGTTCTCTGGAAAGTTATCCTTCTATCCCGATCCTTTGTAAAAGCTAAATTCAGTTTGTATTTTTTTAATGTTTTATATTTTTTAGTATTTTTGTACTTTTTTGGAGGTCCAAATATTGAACAAAGTACATTAGTTGAACTGTGGTACTCTTATTAAGTGAACAGCATAATACTACAAAATAACTATGGGCAAAAATACAGAATAGATTCAGATATGTTTTTAAAATTAATTATCCATGTAACTTTAAAATTATGTTATATAGAATTTATAAATGTAAATATTTTATCTACATACCATATAATAAGTGCTCAAATTTAATATGTACAAAAGTCTACATACATGTTCACAGAATTAATGGAACTTTGCATAAGAAATACAAGTTAGGAATTATTTAAACATAATATATCATTGCTCACATTTTCAAGAAAATAGTGGTAATCAGAATAGGATATTAAATGGCATTCTTATACTGATAGATAATAGAAACTTTTAAGGAAAAAATAAGTGATATGATTTGTTTTACATTTTTAAAGTGATGTAGAGTATACATTGATGTAACCTTTTCTCAGTTTAGCAAAACTAGTTTACTCTTCTGATGATGACAATGCACCATGTTCATGGTTTATTTAATGAAACCTTCTATGGAAATGATTATCCTACTAGGTGGATAGTCATTTATTTGACTATGAGGGTTAGGTAACTTTTAGCTTGCATTATCTTATGTAACTCTACAATCTCAGAAGAGCCAGCCATGTTGAGGTCATCAATTAAAACAACAAATATTTCTGTGTGGAAAGGGCAAGGGAAAAACTGAGTTCTACCTTGAATTGTACTTTCATAACCCAAACTAATAAAAATACTTATGCTATTTTGTTCATAGCTTTTTTACTAAAATGAGTAGAACAAATCCTATCAGTTTTGTTTGAAGATAAGTAGAAGAGATGCACGATGGTTGGCACAAAATCTGGCATATAGTGAATGTCTAGCACATGTCCTATAATATATAGATTATACTTAAAACTAATAAATTAATACTATTGCCATATAGCACTGAGCTAATTTTGATTAAATTTGTTAGTAGTGAGGCTGTGTGTGTGTGTGTGTGTGTGTGTGTGTGTGTTTGGGAAAACAAGGGAGACAGAGCAAGAGCTAGAGAGAGCGAGAGATAGTAGTGGGGTGTAAGAAAGAACAGAATGGAATAGGTAAATCATCTCCCTCCAAGAAATTTGGAAGAAAACTGGGGACTCTTCATAATATGTTAATTAGAAAATTTAATGTCCTTTCAGAAACTATTTAGATAAATCTCTGATAACATACTGCATACGTTGGTTTTAATTGAAAAGGTTATTATTTACTTTACCTCAGAAACATTTGTGGCAATATATTCCACATGTTGATTTTAACTCAAATCATTAACTTTTGGAACATCTCATTGATAATACGTGAAACTTCTGATAAGAGCAAAGCCACTTCTGTGAAGAATGAGATATTGATAATTGTTTTCCTAAAATAAGTCTTCTATCCTTGCAGAAAATAATTTATTCATGTGTCTGTTAACACATTCATCAATAATTAACATATGAAGTAGTTAGTGACCTAAGTGAACTGTTATACTTTACAAAAATACACATCTAGTAACTTAAGTTTGTTAAAGTAAAAGTAAAATCTTAAGGAAGATTTGATAGAGTCCATTGGTAAAATTGTTTAGAAGTTGATTTACTTACTCAATTTAGAGAATAATTTGGTAGATGAATCAAAAAATGAGAAAATTGTTGTGGTTTATGAAACTTCCTGTATACCAAATAGAACTTAAAACTGTTTTAGTTGGCATATACACTTTTATAGTTGTTTAACTTAATGTGTTGTATTCTTGCTTGGTAAGAGCATGCACAAGAAACTTAACAAAGATCATCTAGCTAGCATATATCAGAGCTATTATAAGGTCCATGAAGTCATAGATATTATTTTGTAATAATTTCTTAATTTCTGCAGTTCCTAGTACAATGTTAGCATTAAATAAGCACTCAATAAAGAGATTTTGTGTTGACTGTGTAGAGGTTATTAAATTTATCTTTTATTTTGAGGATGTATTCTGGTTTATATTTAACTACTTTTGCCCTGTATTTCAATACTTCTGGCAAAACAATGGGGCCAGGCTATGAAAATCTATTTTTGGAAGAAATTGGAGCTGAGGCAAGAGCCAGTTCTAAAGATAGCTCCTTCTTGGGAAAGGGTAGGATTTGAGAAACACAGGGCAGGTAGTTTCTGGTGCCTGACAGGCTAAAATACCTTCAGAAGGAATTTTTATGACAATATGATGGGCTATTATTGAAAGAATTGAGATTTTTCAGATATAGCGATTATTAATAGCTGTGATAACATCAAACACAGCATATTAGAGTGTGTACGGAGGAATTATTCCCTGTATTACATACCTATCAGTAGTCTCTGAAAGTTAGAATGGAGGATAGAAATAAAAGATTGAGAATAAACCTCATTTTCTTAACTATATGTCTTTCTCCATTGTTTTCTTATGATTTTACTATCAAGATTTAGATTTTTCTTACCTCTTTTTAGACACATTTTCAGTTTCTT